ATATAGTTTTTTAATCACTTTTTCATCAGAACCTGTCAAAATCCTATCTAAATCAGTCAATTTATCATAAAATCCTTCTGTTTTAGAATCTTTAAGATACCTTGAGTGTATTTACGCATATGAAAACCAATTCATCTTTATATCTTGTTCTTCTAACTTTTGCATCGTTTTAAGTTCACCCTTTTCATCCAGTATTTCCCCATATCTAACTGTTTGTTCCTTCTTATAAATTATGGGATAGGAAAAAGCTTCGATAGTTGATAACCAAACTGGTATTTTCAAATAACGTTGTTTCTTAATTTTCTCCCAATTCAACCATAACGATTCCCGTATATAGTGCCTTCTGAAATAACCCTGCGATTTAGTTCCCTTATACCATAAAAAAGCATGCCAACCCAATAATAAGTCATGTCCTTCCAATGCCAGTAATCTAGACTTTCTTAACGTTATCCATTCTTTAGCCCACATTAAGTTTGCAGCTTGATAATACAACTCCCAATTAGGAAGGCCAAATCCTCCTCTAGTTCTAGCATCCTGTAAAAGTTTTAGTTTTATTCTCGCTTTCTTACCTTGCCATATATACTTCAACACAATTTTATTTAATTCTTCAAAATAATCCTTACCTAATTTAATTGGTATTGTTTGAAACAAATATAAAATTCTGGGTAAAATATTCATTTTAATTGTTGAAATTCTACCTATCAAAGATAATTGTAGGTTTTCCCATTTTTTCAAGTCAGATGCTATCTGCTGTTTAAGTTTAATATAGTTATTCTCTTTCAGTGTAATACATCTTGACGTCAAAAATATCCCCAAGTATTTAACTTTATTCGTAACTTGAATTTTCAATAGGAATATTAGGAAGAGGCAAATGATTAAAACTTTAGAAGATGATTATAAAAAATTGGAAAAAGAATTACAGAGAACGCCACAGAAAAAAGATATTAAATTTAAAATGGACATAATCAAACATAAAATGGATCAAACAGTGAAAGAAGAATTGGCGCAAAAAATCAGAAGCGCTAAACAGAACTACTTTGAGGATGCAAACAGGCCAGGTAGATGGTTAGCATATAAACTGAGAGAAGAGAAAGAATCAAGGAAAATACTACAGTTAATGGACGAACAAGGTCAAGTTTGTCATGGTAATAAGGAGAAAAAGAGAATTATTCGAGACTTTTATGCACAATTATATAAGCAGGAAGATTTTGATGAGGGGAAAATCAAACAGTATTTACAAAATGCTAACCTACCTAAGATACCTGATGAAACTGGGAAAATGTTAGAAAATCCTATAACAATGATGGAATTAACTGAAGCACTCAATAGGCAGAATAACGGGAAAGCACCAGGACCAGATGGTTTCCCGGCAGAATTTTATAAAACATTACAAGAATCGTTGAGTATTTCATTGTTAGAAATTATGAATGAAGCTATGATAAATAAGAAAATACCTAAAACATGGTCAGAAGCTTATATTACGCTTATCCCAAAAGAAGGGGCTGACCCATCACAAATTAAGAACTATAGATTTTGAACTGTATTTCTTTTGTTTGGAATGTTATTTTGAAAATACTTTAATCTCCAACTGTGAACAATTGAACAGTGAAGCCAAGTTGAAGGCATTAAAGGACCTTTATTTACGTTTTGGTTTTTGTTATATTTGTGGTACACTCCAGGTCATCACAGTTCTGGAAGAATACTTGTAACATCAACAATGCTTTACTACTAAATTTTTCAAAATTTTGAAAATTGTATCTCGTGTATCTTTTTAAATGTAAAAAGGGTTTAAACATGTGGTAGTTTTCTAGGTCAAACCTAATGACAAATTGTGATTGTACAAAACTGTGCTGAATGCTACAGATGTAAACTGTGTTTAGTGCTGAATGCTTCAAATTTCTCCATTGTGTCAATGACCCCAAATACAGGAACAATGGTGCATAACTTAAAGATTCATCCATGTAAACTTATTGTACATTTACAACTTAGCGTGACAACAGATGAACATAATTCTCAATTGGTGGAGGTTACTCATCGTGCTAAGCCACACAAAAATTCTTTGAAATCACAGTTGCTATATTTATACAGTGGGAGAAGAGCATTACTGGTTCATTAGTTGTTTTTCTTTTCCTATTCAATCATTCCACCAAATAGAATTAAGCAATATAAAGTCATCAATACATTTATAGAAACCATTGCAATGATTTCAAAATTTTCTAGGTACTTGTTCCACCATGGGCAGCCTTGCTGAAGCAAACACCAACTTCGCTGTGGACCTCTTAAAAAGGATGGAAGAAGAGCAACCCAAGAACATCTTTTTCTCTCCATTTAGTCTCTCAGCAGCTTTAGCTATGACCTCTTTGGGTGCCAAAGGTAACACTGCTGCTGAAATGGAAAAGGTAGGAATCTTCATGATAATCAGGAAGTCTTTTCTACTGATGACTTTCCTTTTGAGAACCTGTCTGTTCTCCATTCAGAGAAGATTAAGAGTTAGCAATAAGAAAATCAAGGAGTACTTAAAGTGAAGGCAAATCCAGAACTCATAAGTGTAATAAGCTAAACTAAAATGGCATTTAAAAAAAATTAGAAAAATAAAAATCATAATTTTTATTATATTTATTTTATCTTCACTTTCTCAGATCACTTAGACTAGACTCCCCTCCCTAACCGCTAAACGCTTTTGCTATTGCTGATAGGTCAGATTAATTGGGGTGGTACAGATTGTGACCCAAACATTTGGACAATATCATGTGGAAAAATGCTGGCCTATGTGGTATCTATCTTAAAGACAGTCCCTTCCACGTTCCTCAGTGGCCCTGGGGAAAAAAGGATGCCTTTGATCTAGGAGTTTCCGAGGAAACTGAATCATGACAGAAGGAAATGGTGACATAGTTCACAACCTCCAATCTATTTTGTATTGCAGGTCCTTCATTTTAACAAAATCACAGGATCGATGACGTCTCCAAGCTTGCCTGTAAGAGAATTTTCATTAAATTTAATTTTATTGCAATTCTACATACATATACATGCACACATGGATATATATACACACATATATACATATACAGTACAGACACCCACACACGTGTGTGTGTGTGTGTGTGTGTGTGTGTGTGTGTGTGTGTGTGTGTGTGAGCATTTGGTGTAAATGTCTTGGAATAGAGGCCAAATATATGCCTATGAATGTAATGTCCTATCCTTTGGTTCTTGAAGGCTCAGTGTGACAAACCTGGTGGACCACACAACCAGTTCAAGGAACTCCTATCAGCC